ATCCCATTGCAGCAAAGCCATCTACTATGACCTGCACATTTCCCAGAGTCACAACCTTTGATAGCAGCAGCTCAATGATTGCATTGGCTACTTGCAACACAGCAACTTCCACAGTAGATTTGCCCACTCCAAATTGATTACTGACTGACCGGTAGCTGTCCGGCGTTGCAAGCTTCCACAGGGCTATCGCCACTTGCTTCTCAACTGTGAGGGCCGCTCTCATCTTGGTATTCTTGCGCTTCAGGGCAGGGGAAAGCAAGTCACAAGGTTCCATGAAAGTGCCCTTACGCATGCGAAAATTTCGGAGCCACTGGGAACCATCCCAAACCTGCAACAGTATGCGGTCCCACCAGCCTGTGGTTGTTTCCCAGGCCCACAATTGGCGTTCCATGGCATGAGCCTACCCCATTAACACCATGATCTCCAAATTGCCGGGGACCGCGGTTTTAGAGAAATCTGTGTCCATGTCCTCAGCACTCGAGTCACTGCATTACCATCGCCTCCTTGCCTGGTTTTTCAGGTTCTGGTTCTGCATAAACTGCACCATAATGTGTGAGGTGTTCACAATGATCATAACTGCTGCGGTGAGCTGAAAGGGCTCCACGCTTGCCGTGCTATGGCGTCTGCTCGGGGAATCTAGGGAAAAGGACTTGAAATGATTGTCTGACGTTGCTTTCATGGAGGGAAGGTTGACTGATGACATTTACCCATAACCACCAGTGACAAATTTTTGGCCCCATCAGACATTGGGAGCTCAGCCCAGAATTCCAATGGGCAGCAGGGACTGCGGGAACTGTGGGATATCTACCAACAGTGCACCACTTGGAATGTCAACGCTTGCCACAGTACTGTGGACACATACTACCAAGTTAATGTGCTTAGTGTGGACGCATGCACTCGACTTTATACAATCTGCTCCCAAAAATTGAATTCTGTAAAATCGGAGTAATTTCGTAGTGTAGACATACTTAGAGTCCCTGAATGCCCATTGGCTCAGGGCCTACCATACTGTAACTCACAAGGCCTGACACACTCATTTCCCCTAACGTGCTGTTGTTATACGAGTCTAAAAGGCACATTGTAAGGAATTCATATGTAAACCAGTGATACACTGGTTCTGAAAACCATCACTTGATGTATGTACTGATTATGTATAATTGTCAAGCGATTAAAAAAATTTATCGTGATTAAGCGCACTGTTAAACAGTAATACCATTTATTTAAATATTTTTTATTTTTTTTATGTTTGTAATTTTTATTACAAACAGAATACAAAATTTACAGTGCTCGCTTTATATTTATATTTTGATATACACATATTTGCACTGTAAAAAAAAAACAAAAGAAATAGTATTTTTCCAGTTCCCCCATTACTAGTACTGTAGTGCAACCTCTTTATCATGAAAGTTGAACTTACAAATGTAGAATTATGTATTAAAAAAACTACATTCAAAAACAAAACAGTGTAAAACTTGATAGCCTACAAGTCCACTCAGTCCTATTTCTTATTCAGCCAATCGCTCAGACAATCAAGTTTGTTTATATTTGCAGGAGATAATGCTGTCCGCTTCTTGTTTACGTCACCTGTCGTAGCCAACATCACACAATATTTACATGCCAGATTCACCAAAAATTCATATGTCTCTTCATGCTTCAATCACCATTCCAGAGAACATGAGTCCATGCTGATGACGGATTCTGCTCGATAACTATTCAAAACAGTGCGGACCAATGCATGTTCATTTTCATCATCTGAGTCAGATGACACCAGCAGAAGATGGACTTTCTTTTTTGGTGGTTCGGGTTCTGTAGTTTCTGCTTTGGAGTGTTGATCTTTTAAGACATCTGAAAGCATGCTCCACACCTCATCCCTCTCAGATTTTGGAAGGCACTACAGATTCTTAAACCTTGGGTTGAGTGCTGTATCTATCCTTAGAAATCTCACATTGGTACCTTCTTTGCATTTTGTCAGATCTGCTGTGAAAGTGTTCTTAAAATGGAACAACATGCACTGGGTCATCATCTGACACTGCTGTAACATGAAATATATGGAGGAATGCGGGTAAAACAGAGCAGGAGGCATACAATTGTCACCCAAGGAGTTCAGTCACAAATTTAATTAACGCATTTTTTTTTTTTAAAAGAGTGTCATTCGCATGGAAGCAAGTCTTCTGGAATGGTGCCGAAGCACGAAGGGGGCATACGAATGTTTAGCATATCTGGCATGTAAATACCTTGCAATGCTGGCTTCAGAAGTGCCATGTATATTTTCAGGTGACATTGTAAACAAGAAGCGGGCAGCATTATCTCCCGTAAATGTAAACAAACTTGTTTGTCTTAGCGATTGGCTGAACAAGAAGTAGGACTGAGTGGACTTGTAGGCTATCAAGTTTTACACTGTTTTGTTTTTGAGTGCAGTTATGCAACAACAACAAAATCTACATTTGTAAGTTGCACTTTCATGATAAAGAGATTGCACTACAGTACTTGTATGAAGTGAATTGAAAAATACTACCTCTTTTGTTTATCATTTTTACAGTGCAAATATTTGCAATAAAAATAATAATATAAAGCGAGCACTATACACTTCGTATTCTGTGTTGTAATTGAAGTCAATATATTTGAAAATGTAGAAAAATATCCAAAAACATTTAATAAATTTCAACTGGAATTCTATTGTTTAACAGTGCAATTAAAACTGCGATTAGTCACAAATAATTTTAGTAATCGCGATTAATTTTCTTAGTTAATCGCATGCGTTAACTGCAATTAATCGACAGCCCTAACAAACAATTATGTGTATGTGCTGGAAATATGTTCTTAAAACGCAGGCTGGAGGCAGTGCATAAATCCAATCTGTCCTGGACAAAGGAATGTGGGTTCATCTGTGTAACCAGCTTCATTACAAGGAGGGGACAGGGAAAGCACATTCACATACAAAGTAAACAAAGCATTCAAATCAACAAGCAGCATCTTAGCAAGTACAAGGGGGCCCAGAATTTGCACCCAGGAATCTTGAGGCAGACACAATGGTCTTTGGATACTATAAGAGGAGCAAAAAGACATTTTAGTTATCCATCACTCAGGGGACACTGGGTACAGCAACCTCTGAATCTGTGAAACTTGGACCCGCCCAGCCTAGATGGCTAGAGATATTGGTGACTTGATGTAAGAAAGAAAATTGCTGAGGCAAAGATTGTAACTTGCTACAATTAAATTTAAGTCATGAGAAAGCGTTTTGTTTTGTTTATAACTACTGTATACTTGTCTCTTTTTCTTGTGCTTAATATCACTTCAATCTCTGTTCTTTGTTAATAAATTTATTCTTATTTTATTAAAAACCACCTTCATGCTGGGCATTAAAGTAACGTGTGACTCTTCAGCTAGCTCTGTCTCTCTGGGGGCAGCAAATTTAGTAATTTTTGTGTGTTCAGTGAGAGGGACTAGACACTCCAGAGATACATCTCTGGGAGAATTTGGGTTCACTGTATGTTACCTGCAAGTCAAGGTTTAGACTGGCAGGAGTTTGGTGGTGAAGCAGACAGAATGGTCTGGCAGTGAACACACAGTCTAATCCCCAGCAAAGCTCTCACCTGGTAACACAGTGGCTTACAGTTCTGGCTGTCCTGATCAGAACATCACAGTTGTATCTTATAATATACATATGTGTTTTTAAAAGAAGTGATGCTATGCTGTTTTCTGATGCAATTAAGACAGATTAGCACAGGTAGTAATAAGAAAAGAACTAGATGGTCCCAGAATTCATAATGGGATATGTGCCTTTCATTTCTACATTACTGGCTTTAACCCAACCCAGGTCAGAGTTTAGCAAGTGCCCGACAAAACTTTTTGGTAGCCTAACAGCAAGTTAGAGTTAGAGAAGTTAGAGAACAAGTGTCTATGGCTCAAAACTATCACAGCCAGCACGCAAACGAATCAAAACACCAATATTCTGCTGGCCATCTCAGATGAAAAACTAAAGACTGAATGGGAACAGAGACTAAACTAGTCTCTCATCCTAGCAATTGCTCTCTAACTCAGGTCTGAGGCACAGTGGCACTAGCAAGTGAAGGACAAATTTGTGCCACTGTTTCTGCGATATTTAGGGTGACCAGCCATCAAGTGTGAAAAATCAGGACAGGAGAGTAATAGGAGCCTATATAAGAAAAAGCCCCAAGCACCAGGACTGTCCCCATAAAATCGGGGCACCTGGTCACCCTAGCGATATTTGCTGTGTGTAAATGAAAGATCTCACTCTCCAGAGTCATCATCATGTTTTTATGAGCGTACCACACAGAAAGGGAAGGGAATAACAATTCTCCCTACTTTTTGACACCTCTACCTTCTTTAATTTGCTAAGACAGTACCTTGCCTTTATTATAATTGAATTGTTTACATTGAAAAGACAGATCATCACAGGAACCCAGGATTAACCATACCCCATCAGGCCACTGGTCCGGTACTAGTGGCCCATATCCAAAGCGTTTACAGGTAGATTAGAAAGCAAGAATTGTGCAGTGCAGCGCATGGTGGGTAGGGGTGGAGAAAGGGGGAGGCCTTCCGCACACCTACAGTGAGGGTGAGCACGCCAAGCAGGAGAGAGCGGCCCCCTTTTCCCAATATTCACGGCTACAAATGCCCGCTGAAAATGGCTAGAGACCAGTGTAAAAACAGCAAACCAGCTTCATCCCACCACCCGCAGCCCCCGCGTGATGCTGCGTCACCCCGCCCGCCTTGTTCCTCCTCGGGCCCGAAGGGGGGGGGGGGGGGCGTCACAGATTCAGGGCCTAGTTGCGGGGGGGGGGGCACTTCACTGTCACACCGACGCTTGGCCAAACCCACTGAACAGCCACGCGCACCGAAGCACGAGGCGGGGCCGCTGCCGGGCCCCAGCGGCCGCCCCAGGCTGGCGGGAGGGGGCGGGCTGCGGGCCGGGAGAAGGGGTGGGGGGGGGGGGTCCCCAGGCTCACACCGCCACGCGTCAGCCGCGCCCGGCCCACCTTGCTGTCATCCATGGGAGCCGCCAGGCCTGGCCCCGGAGCAGCCGCCCGCCCGCCCGCGGCCCAGGCAGCCGCCGCACGAACAGCCGAGGGCCCGCGCCAGCAGAGTCCGCCCCGGGCTGGCCGCTCACAGCGGCGCCAGGGCAGCCGACACAGCCCCTCGCCCCGCCCAGGAACAGGCCCCGACCCGCTCCATCGCGCGCCGCGCGCCTGCTGGCTTTCTTTCCAGCCCCGCCCCTCAGCGGCGGGCGGGGTGAGGGCTGGGCGGGTGCATCCTGGGAAGTGGAGTTCTGTTTTCCTCCGGCAGCCTCCGCAGTCTGGGCAGGCCGCTCGGCCGGAGGACTGCAGCTCCCGTGGGGCCAGGCGCCGGGCGGGACCTGCGTGGCGCGGCGCACCCTGGTCGTGGTAGTTTTGTACCGTAGGGGAGCTGATAAGTTAGGAGGAGGAGCCGCCAAAATGAAAACTACGTTTCCCAGAAGGCAGCGAAGGGGACCGGCCCGTACAGGGCTTGCCGGTCTAAATCGGGCAAATATCAGATCGCTGTGTGTCTGCGGCAGCTGTCTTGGTGAAGAGAGGGGGAGCCTCCAGCAGGAATGGCTGCAGAGCACCGCTGAGCTAATGGGTGGCATCTCCTGGCGCCACCTCCCTGCACCACAAAGCACCTGGGAATTAAACATTCAATCCAAGTGAAGCTGTGACACGTCAAACCACATCCCTTCCTCTCCAGCAATCGCCCCTCCACATACACACATACAGCTGCTCCCGGGGCCTCCCTGACACTAACCTCCTGGCCAGGGCAGAGCAAACATCCCGAGAGAAAACCGAAAACCACTTGCCATGCTAGAGCAACACCAGTCACGCCAACGTATGTCTGCTTGGGCAGAACAAAACAACAGTCAACTATAGTGCCATGCACAGAACTATTACGCTATGAGACTGGCAGTGTGCAATGAAATGTAAATGTAATAATACAGCAATAATAATAATGGGTGATTTAAATAATTTAAACTAATCACAATTCACATCAGGATAAAGTGTAGAGAAATATTTCTATTTTCACTGAATGTATGGATTATGTATTAGTACATAAACAACATTATTACCTATAACTGGTGTCATAGAGGCTTGGAATAAATATCATGACTGGAGTATTGATATAGAGGGGTATAGCTTGTTCACAAAGGACAGGCAAGGGGGAAAAGGGGGGAGGTGTTTCCTTATGCATCAAGAATATATACACTTTTTCTAGGGTCCAGAGGCAGGTGAGAGGCAGACCAGTTGAAAGTCTTTGGGTAAACATAAAATGAGAAAAATTAGGAGCGATGTCATGGTAGAGGTCTATGATACACCACCAAATCAGGAAGAGGAGGTGGATGAGGCATTTCTAAAACAAATAACAGAAATATCCAAAACACAAGACCTGGTGATCATGGGGAACTTTAATTCCCCATACATCTGTTGGAAAAGTAATATAGCAAAACACAAAATTTCCAATAAATTCTTGAAAGGTATTGGGGACAATCTTGTTTCAGAAAGTGCAGGAAGTAACCAGAGTCACAGCCATTTAGACTTTATTCTGACCAGCTGGGAGGAATTGACTGACTCTGAAGGTGGATGGCAATTTGCATGAAATTTCATGATTCTAGGGAAAGAAAGAAGTGAGAGCAGAAGAATAAGTACAATGGACTTCAAAAAAGCAGACTTTAACAAATTCAGAAAACTGATAGGTAAGGTCCCATGGGAAGAAAATCTAAGAGATAAAGGAGTACAGGAGAGTTTATAGAATTGTCGGATGACACCAAGCTGGGAGGGGTTGTAAGCACTTTGGAAGACAGAATTAGAATTCAAAATAACCTTGACAAATCAGAGAATTGAAATCAACCAGATGAAATTCAATAAAGCCAAGTGCAAAGTACTACAACAAGTACAAAATGGGAACTACAAAATGGGAAATGACGTCTGAAAAGGATCTGGAATTTATAGTGGTCACAAATTGAACATGAGACAATAGTGTCATGTAGTTGCAAAAAAGGCTAACATCATTTGTGATGTGTTAACAGGAGTGTTGTATGTAAGACAGAGGAGGTAATTGTCCTGCTCTACTCAGCAATGGTGAGGTCCTCAGCTGATGCACCACACTTCATTAGAGATATGAACAAATTTGAGAGAGTCCAGAGGAGAGTGACAGAAAGTTTAGAAAACCTGAGCTATGAGGCAAGGTTAAAAAAACTGGGCATATTTAGTCTTGAGAAGAGAACACCGAGGGCTCGTATACACTGAAAACTTACATCAGCATAGGTCTCACGGGGGTGTGAAAAATTCACCCCACTGAGAAATGTAGCTATGCCGACCTAACCCCCGGTGGAGACAGAGCTAGATCAATATAAGAACTTTTCTGTCAACCTAGCTACCACCTTTTGGGGAGGTGGATTAACGACAGCAAAAACAGAAAGTGTCTACACTGAAGCACTACAGTGGCGCAGCTGTACTGCTATAGCATTTTAACTGTGGGTATACCTTGATTGGGGACCCGATAATGGTCTTCAAATATGTTAAGGGTTGTTTTAAAGAGGATGGTGACCAGCTATTCTCCATGTCCACTGAAGATAGGACAAGAAGTAATGGGCTTAATCTGCAGCAAGGGAGATTAGGTTAGATATTGGGGAAAACTAGAGATAGCCAGAAAGTGATGCCCAGGTTAGGTTTCTGTCCCTTTCTTCAGGGCTGTGTTTATTGTCTTCACAACCAAAGAAAGAAAAGAGTGCAAAAAGCAACACAAACAACAGCCTGGTTAGGAGTTCAGACTGGGACCATCTGACTTCCATTAGTTACCAGGTAGGGCTGTCTCCAACCTAAGGCTGGTTACCAGAATGGCAAATCAAGCTGAATCTTCTCTCCACCCCTTTGTGGAGCTGAGTTTTTTTATATTGTCCAGCTGAGATTCTGAGCCAATCCATGAGGTGCTGATCAGCTATCATTGTCAGCTGATTCCCATTACCTGTCTGCTAGGCTTCTCTGGAACTGGGTTGGCTGCTCCCTGTTCCTACCACTGGACTATTAAAGGGGCAGATTGCTATGTTGCACACCTCCACCCCAAGAGTGGCATCATGTATACCAAAGCCCTTCCCCTCCTCCCCATCCTGTGAAAAAAAGTCCACATTCCCATGGGTGGTTCCAGGTTCGTGGTGAACTGTAAACATATTTAGCTGCAGGGCTAGGTACCATTGTATCAGCCCAGGATTAGTCTCCCACATGGCATGCAGTCACTGCAGTGGGGCTTGGTTGGTGATGAGAGTGAAGAGTGCTCCAAGTGAATAATACTTCAGGGCCTCAATGGCCCACTTTATTGCCAGGCACTCCTTTTCAATCACCACATAATTTTGTTCCTGGGTTAGAAATGTTATGCTCACATATAATATGGGGTGCTCCCCATCTTCAAACACCCGAGAGTCAACAACTCCCAGACTCACTAGAAACTAGGCCTCTGCTTGCTTGAAAGGTACATTCCACAAACGTAGCCTGTGTTTCAAGTTGGCAACGAAACAGACTGAAAGCGTGTTGCATTTAGCTCAAGGGCGGGCTAACTTTTTGGCCTGAGAGCCACATTGGGTTTCCAAAATTGTATGGAGGGCCAGTTAGGGGAGGCTGTGTCTCCCCAAACAGCCAGGTGTGGCCCGGCCCCCCACCTCCTATCCGACCCCCCTGCTTCTTGCCCTGACGGCTGCCCTGGGACTCCTGCCCCATCCAACCCTCCCTGTCCCCTGACGGACTCCCCCTGGGACTGCTACACCATCCACCAACCCCTGCTCCCTGACCACCCCCGGACACCCCACCCCTGTCTGCCCTCTGCTGCCCCATCCAACCCCCCCCTCCTTCTTGACTGCCCCCCCGGGACCCCTGCCCCATCGAACCCCCTGTTCCCCGCCCTCTGACCGCCCCAACCCTTATCCACACTCCTGCCCCTGACCACCCCCTTCAACTCCCCTACCCTCTATCCAACCCCTCCTCTCCCAGCCCCCTTACCGTGCTGCCTGGAGTACCAGTGGCTGGCAATGCTACAGCCGCACCGCCCAGAGCACTGGGTCAGGCTGCAGCTCTGCAACTGCGCTGCCTGGCTGCCCAGAGCATTGCACCGGCAGCGCGCTGAGGCTGCGGGAGCACAGGAGGGGCCTCCCAGGCCAGCAGCTCAGGGGCCGGGCAGAAGGGTCCCACAGGCCGGATGTGGCCCACGGGCTGTTGTTTCCTCACCTCTGATTTAGCTGGATGGCTTTTTATTTGTGAACTTTTCACACAACTCTATTCACAATAACATCCCATGACTTAATTCTTCATGTCATATGTACAGCTGTTAGGGATTAAGAACAGGGGATTTTCCCCTGAATTGAAGACCTATCTCATGAAGGGGAGGCATGGATCCTTTTTTTCTGATGTGAGAGGCCAAGTGCTTTGCACAACCCTCAGTGTTTGCCTCTCCAGACATGCTGCTTACGCCATCCCAACTCTAAGGAAATTCTAAGGGAAGAGATGGTCAATGTGGCAACAAAAAGAGTAACAGCTGAGGGGGCACCAGGTCAAGCACTTGACCATACTTGGAGAAAGTAGTTGAACTATACATTTGCTGGTTCACTCTGATTGTGTATACTTATACTAAGCCAGATCCTTGGCCCTGTTCTGGCCATTTTACCCCACTCTGGAAGGGCCATGGGGCCAGAAGGCAGGTATAACAAGCCAGATGGGGGGGAAATTACAGGGTGGCAGAGAGCCAACATACCCAGCTCTAGACCACCCTACATCTGCACTGCACACTTCTTTCGGCATGTAGAGTAGACATAGCCTCTGTTGAACCATGGCCAGGGGAAAGGACCATAGATTGAGTGCTGATGCATAAATGCCACTAGGTTTAAATTAAAGCAGCCTCGGGTCAGTTGCCTTCAACAGGCTCTCCCATGCTCCTTACACTGTTCCCTGACAACGAACCGCCCCTTCAGAACTCAGAAGCACAGCTCCCAGCTCAGGCCAGGCTAAGCACAGACTCCCTGAGTGACTAAACTTCAAATGATTAAACTTTTCAGCGTTGAAAAGATAAGGATGTGTTTTCAGTGTGATTTTTACAGACCTGGATGTGTGTAGTGTGGTTGTGGATGTGCATGTATATTAGAAGTGAAAAGGAGTTTGTTGTGGAGCTGAGAAGTTTGCAGGTGGGTTTGGATATTATGATGTCTAGGTA